AAAGAAAGAAAGAAAGAAAGAAAGAAAGAAAGAAAGAAAGGAAGGAAGGAAGGAAGGAAGGAAGGAAGGAAGGAAGGAAGGAAGAGAGAAAAATGCCTCACAGGCATGACCACATGGGCTTTCATCTAAAGGAAACAATGCCTTAGTTGAGGTAGGCTCCCTATTCCCAGGTTGTTAAGTTGACAAATGAAGCTTTCCAGCACCATCCCATTCAAAATAGCACCAAAAAACTTTATATACCTAGAAATACACCTAACCAAGAAGACAAAAACCTCTATAATGAAAACTTCAGGACACTAAAAGAAAACTTCAGGACACTAAATTGAAGAACATTCTAGATGATCAAATGACCTTCCTTCCATGCTCCTGGATTAGTAGAATCAATATTGTGAAAATGGTTATATCTGTATGAAATTCTCAATAAATTATTTTTTTAAAAACATGACAATGTTTCTATGAAAAAAAAAGAAAATGGTTATATTACCAAAATTAAATCTACATATTGAATGTAATACCTATCGAAATTCCAATGTAATGTTTCACAGAACTAGAAAAAACAATCCAAGAATTCATATGGAACCATAAAATACCATGGATAGCCAAAGCAATCCTATAGAGTAAGAACATAGCCGGAGGCACCATAATACCCAGCCTCAAATTATACTTCAGAGGTATTGTGATAAAGACAGCCTGGTACTGGTATAAAAACAGACAGACCAGTAGAACAGAACAGAATAGAGGACCCAGAAATAAACTGACAAAGCTCTGCTTACCTAATTCTCAATAAATGAGGCAAAACCATACATTGGATAAAAGCCAGCTTATTCATAAATGATATTAGCGAAACTGGATTTTCACCTGCAGAAGAATGAAATTGGATTCAACTTTCACCTTGTATAAAAATCAATTTAAAATGGATCAGAGATCTTAATTTTTACCTGAAACTTGTAGATGAAAATATAGGGAATACTATTCAGTACATCAGGGGTAGGTAAGAACTTTGGATAAACATCAGCAGCATAGGTATTAGTTCCAGGTATCAACAGATGGGACTATATAAAATTAAAAAGTTTCTGCATAACAAAGGAAACTATCAGCAGAGCAAACAAACAGCCCACAGAATGGGAGAAAATCTTCCCCAGCTATACCTCAGACAAGGGGCTATTATAATATCCAGAGTATACAAAGAAAACAGAAATTAAATACCACAGAAATAAAATTAATAATCAACAAATGGGCTAATGAATGGACAGTTTTCAGAAAAACACAGTTGGCCAACAACTATTTAAAAAATGTTAGACATCGCTAGGTGTGCACCTGTAGTCCCAGCACTTGAGAGGCAGGGGCAGGCAGATCTCTGTGAGTTTGAGACCAGCCTGGGCCTACAGGGAGACCCTGTCTCAAAAAAAATAAATAAATATAATAAAAAATAAACATCCCTAGTCAATGCAAATTGAAACTACTTTGAAACAGCACTTTACCCCAGTAGGAATAGTTGTCATCAAGAAATACAACACAGGCTAGGCATGGTGGTACATGCCTTTAATCCTAGTGCTCTGGAGGCAGCGGCAGGTGGATCTTAGATTGAGGCCAGTTTGGTCTACATAGTGAGTTCCAGGTCATCTGGAGCTACTGGGAGATCCTGTCTTTAAAAAAAAAAAAAAAAAAAAAAAAAAAAAAAATCAGTAACAATGCTGGAGAGGATGTGGAGAAAGAGGAACCCTTATTCACTGCTGGTGGGAAATTATGGAAATCAATTTGGAGGTTTCTCAGAAAATTAAAAATAGAGCTAGCTCATTCCTGGGTGTATACCCAGAGAACTCCATTCTTCACTGTAAAGATATTTGCACCCCATGTTTATTGCTTCTCTATTCACTGTGCCAAGGAAATTGAACCAACCTAGTTGTCCATCAACAGATGAATGGATAATGCAAATGTGGTACATATATAAAAGCGAATATTATTCAGCTCTAGAAAAAAATGGTATCACAAAATTTGCAGGAAAATGAATAGACCGAGAATGTGTAATATTAAATGAGGCCACCCAGTCTCAGGAAATAAAAAACTGCATGTATTCCTTCATTTGGATCCTAGCCTACAATGTATATGTACACATAATGTAATGAAATGGAGGTGTAGTTATATTATAGTATTTAGAAAGGAGAACAAGAAAGAGATAACTTTTTTTTAAATATAGTTTTTTGTTTTTTTAAAATCATGGTGGATTTGTGAATTCTGCTTCCTGGGTATTGAAGTAGCCAGAACCATTTCTGCATTCCATAAGAATCCAACATGTGTTGTCCCTTTGATGCAGCAATTGTGAAAGTTGGGCTTTCCTTTTAAATTCCATTGACCATTAGGGCAATAGGAATTAGACATGGCTAGCCACTGAATAAACTTTTCCCATTGACCCACTTAGGAAAAAGTTATTATTTTTTGGTTAAATTTGTTTTATATCCTAAAATTTTTCCCTTCTGTTTAAAACTATATCAAATAATTGTATTGTATAAATATTAATTGTATAAATATTAATATATGTATATATTGAGTATATATTCATATAGTTATATGTATATATTAAATATTAATATAGGTATATATTAAATATATTAATATGTGGATTTTATTGCTGTACATAAAGTATTTTTTAAATTACCAATCATTTATCACTAAATTTTTTTGGTATCAGATTTAAAGATGTATTTTGATTTCTTTTCTACTATAATTTTAGGATGCCTTCTTAAAAATTCTTCGAAATGAGGGCATTAAATCCCTGTGGAGTGGTCTTCCTCCTACTCTGTAAGTTGAAATTTAATGTTTTCTACCAAGTACGTCTCACAGCTTCAACTTGATATGTTAGAAGGACTTAACCTAAGAAGGGTTATGCTAATATATGGGGTTTATTGTAGCTAAAGGATACACAGTAGAATTGGTAAGAGGAAAAAGGCATAGCAGAAGGTGACCAAGTTAGGTTTCTAAAATCATTCTCATGGTATAGCACAGGATGTACTTATTTTTACAACAACTAACTGTAAAGGGTACAAAATGCTTCTGCCTTGGAAAACTCACTTGAGTTTCAGAATGTGCAGCTTTTATTGGATGTTGGCTATGCAGGAACATTCCATGTTTGTGAGTAATGAAATTTCATACCTCCAGAAGGAAAGTAGTTGTATAGCGCAAGTCATACTTTTTGCATAATCAGCCTAGGTAAGTTGGATTGGTGCTTTAGACATACCTAAATAATTATCCTCAGGAACATTCCAGTGGCAAAATAATTTCCATGAGTTGATAAGAACACAAACAGACCTTCCTGAAGACATTATAGATAATTTAAGCAACCAAGCCTGCTGCCTTAAGCCTTTGCTGCACCAGCACATCTGTAATCCTAGCACTGGGGAACTAGGGATTTTCTGAGTCCCTGTAGCTTGCTGGCCAGCCAATCTAACTGAATCAATGACCTCCATGTGAATTCAGTAAGAGACCCTATCTCACAAAAAATAATCTGGACAGCAACTGAGCAAGGCACCAGCTTTGACCTTTTGTCTCCACATGCATGTGCACACACACCACTACACAGACATGCATACACACACAAACATGGGCACACCCACATAAATTTATCTCTTGGAGTAATTAGATGTAATTTTTAGTTATCTAATATAAAAGCTTATAATATTTGAATTTAATAGTACATTTAAGCCTTTTTGAAAATTCTGATTATATCTTTTCTGTGTGTTTCTAACAGAGTGATGGCAATTCCTGCTACAGTTATTTATTTTACCTGCTATGAGCAATTAACTGCTCTTCTGAAAGCGAAATTAGGAGAAAATGAAACTCGAATACCAATTGTTGCTGGAATTGTGGCCAGATGTAAGTAATAAACTTATTCTCATTTTGATTTCTACTTAGAACATCAGAACATTTATTTAAATTGATATCCACAGAGAATTTGAATAATGGAAAGAATATTGCTAGGATGTACTTTTGCATTCTAGTTTGTACTAGTTGTTAGTATCTATACTCCAGAAGTCTTATAGTAGGTGATTGCCATAGGAATGAGAGGAAAGCTCATCTTCATTGAATCTTGAACAATTTTTAGAATGATATCAAATTCTTATTCACTTAAATTTCCAATGTATCTGGGTCCATATGTGACTGAGGCCAAAGTTTTGAAACATTCCTTATAAACTCCAGGATTCAGCGCTTAATCAGAAGGAGATTTGCCTATATGCAGAGCAACATTTTTCTGTTAAATAGGAGATTTATGCTGGGCATGATGGCACAAGCATGCCTTTAATCCTAGTACTCTGGAGGCAGAGGCAGGTCAGTCTCTGTGAGCTCTGGTCTACATAGTGAGAACCTCAAAAAAAAAAAAAAATTTATTTGGGAACGCTAACTGGGATGAATTTGTAATAGTTCTGGTTGACTATATTATTCCTGGTACTGCTCTTGAACAGTTGAAACCAGGAAAAGGTATATGAAAATAGACACATTTATCAAGAGAAGACAATCTTTTGACGTCTTTAGGTATTTAATTTTAAGCTTTACAGACATTTCAGAATAAGTGAGGATAAGAACAGACATATGAGATATTGAAGAAGGGTGAATTCTGGGGTCAGAAAGATGTGGGGAAAGTGTGGACAGGGAGCTGGGGTGACAACAGTTGAGAAATAAACCCAACGAAATATGTTCATAAATGCCTGAAGGAAACCTTTTACTTTGTAAGCTAATTTAAAATTTTTTCAAAATATAAAACATATAAAGCATTAATTTTTGCATATATATTCCCCTCATACATGGCTTTTTGCTTTCTCCTTTTTTTATTTTTTGTATTAGTTGGTGCAGTAACTGTGATAAGTCCATTAGAATTGATTAGAACTAAGATGCAGTCTAAGAAGTTTTCTTACAATGAACTACATCGATTTGTCAGCATGAAAGTATCTGAAGATGGTTGGATTTCCCTTTGGAAGGGCTGGGCTCCTACTATTCTTAGAGATGTACCTTTCTCAGGTGGGATTCGCCTTATTAGTATTTACTAACATTTTAATTTGACTAGGTTTTAAACTCTTAAGGTTAAAGGTGATTTTTTTTTTTTCCTCTAGTGACCACACATTCATAATACATTGTTAAGATTTCAGATCTTCACAAGCCTTTACTGAATAACTTTCTAATTCAGGCCCTGTTTTCTCCTTGTGTTTAATTGCTGTTAAGCATTCATTGGTAGGTAGGTATTTATATTCAGATAATACAAACTACCTTTAGCATTTTCCTAAATAAGTCATAATCAGGTAAAATAAACTACAAATGAAAATATTATAAGACATACTTGAGATGATTAGATTATTGGAACTGCTGATTTTTCTGCTATTAAAAATAAACATCTTGGGCCAAGCGTGGTGGTACACACTTTTAATCCCAGCATTCGAGAGGCAGAGGCAGGTGGATCTCTGTGAGATAGAAGCTAGCTTGGTCTACCTAGCAAGTTCTAGGCCAACTTCAGTTATTAGGAGAACCTGTCTCAAAAAATGAAAAATAAATACTATTATGAACCAAATAAGTGATGTTGTTTAGAAACATAAAACATGTAATTAATCATAGGTTCCTATGCTAATTTTTTACTTGTTTAAAATACTGATATGTATATCATATATAAATCGTATATATCATATATAGATGTAAAATGAACACATGTGAACTTGCCACATCAGCATATAAGCTTGAACCATGAAGCTATATATATAGCCCTTGTACTGTCACAATCCCAGTGGTAAGCATCACACTGGGGTTTTTTTGTTGTTGTTATTTTTTAAAAAAAAAAAACAAAAACATTTATTTGTTTGAGAGGGAGGGCCACACATCACCTAAACAGTTGTTATTTTCCTTCTACCATGTGGGCTCCGGATTTCAGACTCAGGTCCTCAGGCATAATGGCAAGTACCCCTACCTACTGAGCTTTCTCATTGGTCCCATACTGGCTTTTTATCATCTATTTGATCACAAAATGCTTATAAAATATTTTCTAATATATTATGGTTAAACAAGACATTATTATTATTATTATTATTATTATTATTATTATTATTATTTGGTCTTTTTTGAGACAGGGTCTCCCTGTAGCCCCAGCTGTCCTGGAACTCACTATGTAGACCAGGCTGGCCTTGAACTCACAGAGATCTGCCTGCCTCTGCCTCCCTAGTGCTGGGATTAAAGGTGGGTGCCACCACGCCCGGCTATTTGGTTTTTTTAATCTTAAAAAATTCCATCTAGTACTCAGATTTTCATGAGACATATTCTAGGTTTTACTGGTAACTGTTTTCTTAATTTTTAATATTGTTTATGTACGAATAGATAAAACATACTGCTATGAAAAATTTTAAACAATTTATTAGTTCACTTGTGCCGCAGTTTTCCCATATTGGGTATGTTGATTCATATAAATATCTTATATCATTTCTAATTTTACTAGATAAAAATAAGTGTTTTTTAAAAAGTAATTGGAGGGTCGGGGCATGGTGGCGCAGGCCTTTAATCCCAGCACTCAGGAGGCAGAGGCAGGCGGATCTCTTTGAGTTCAAGGCCAGCCTGGTCTACATAGTGAGTTCCAGGACAACTGGGGCTGCAGGGAGACCCTGTCTCAAAAAGATCCCCCGCCCAAAAAAAGTAATTCAAAAAAAATAAAATAAAAAAAGTGGCGGGGGGAGGGGTCTGGAGAGATTGCTCAGCTATTAAGAGCATTGACGACTACTCTTACAGAAGACCCAGGTTCGATTCCCAGCACCCACATAGTGGCTAACGAACCATCCTTAACTCCAGTTGCAGGGGAATCCGAAGCCCTCTTCTGACCTCCGCGGAACTGCACAATGCGGATACACTCAGATACATGCAGGCAATACACTCATACACATAAAATAAAAATAATAAATAAAATATTTAAAAAACAATAAAAAATAATTGGGGGCTGGAGAGATGCTCAGCAGTTAAGAGCACTGACTGTTCTTGCAGAGGACCTGGGTTTACTTCCCAGCACCCACCTGGTGGCCAGTAGCCATCCAGAACTCCAGTTGCAGGGAATCTGATGCATGCTGTGGCCTCCAGAGGCATTACACACATTATACACACCTACATGCATGCAGGCAAAACATTCATACACATAAAAAGTTTTTTTTTTTTTTTTTTATTTAAAGTGGTGATTGTAGCCAGGTGTGGTGGTTCATGTCTGTAATTCAATACCTGGGAGGCTGAGGCATGAAGATCACAAGTTTGAGGCCAGCCTGGAATTCACAGTAAAACCCCATCTCAAAAATAACAAAATAGGGGGCTGGAGAGATGGCTCAGCAGTTAAGAACACTGGCTGTTCTTGCAGAAGACACAAGTAGAATCCCAGCACCCACATGGCAGCTAACAACTGTCTGTAACTCCAGTTCCAGGGGATCCAACAGCCTCTTCTGTCCTCCGCAGGCATTGCATGACATGGGCGCACTTATCTACATGCAGGCAATACACTCATACACATAAAAATAATAAAATATTAAGAAAAAAATAACAAAAGTGGACCATGGAGTTGACTCAGTGCATAAAGGCACCTCCTGCCAAGCCTGATGACCCGAGTTCAATCCCTGGGACCCACTTAGTAAAAGCACAGATATTTATTTTAAATGTGATATTTAAAATTTTTTAAGTGATTGTATAAATTTATACATTTACCATCAAGTCTGAGATTTTCTGCTGTTTCATACTTTTACATGCTCTTTCATTGTCAAGGTTCTTAAATTTTATTTCTCTATCTATGAATGTTGGGACTGTTTCCTTAGCCATTTCTTTACAGGTCATTGATTTGAGGATAGGAGCCAAAATATAACTCACTGTCTCAGTGTCATTTATTCAGTAACTTTAGTTGGTAAAGAGATGACTTCTGTCTTATTAAATTCTCATGGATTTGTTTCATTTGTTCATTTGTCTGATATTAATTTGCCACCACTGCTGTCCAAATTACTAGTGCTTTATAAAATAACCTTGATAAATTATTTTTCTAAGAATGATATATGCTTGTGTTAAGTTTTCTTTAAAGTGTTTTAGTAGAGGTAGTAGAGATTTAAAATCTTCTTCATAAAGTTTGTATGCTATCTTCTTATATATTTTATACCTTACCCTCCAAACTTTGGCGGCATTTACTTATTTATTTATTTCTGTGGTGTTGGGGTTGGAACCTAGGACATTGTATGTACTAGTCCTTCTGAACTATTTCACCAACAGTGGTAGCTATTTTTTTTAATTAAAAAAAAATTTTTTTTTAAGGTGGGCATGGTGTTGCAGGCCTTTAATCCCAGCACTCAGGATGCAGGGGCAGGTGGGTCTACACGGAGAGTGAGGCCAGCCTAATCTACACAGCTAGTTCCAGGCCAGCTGGGGCTACAGGAAGACTCTGTCTGAAAGCAAACAAACTAAAGCTGTATGTTTTTTAATATTATGCTTCGTGAAGCTTTGTAGCTGGTATGGTTGCAATTGATTTTTGCCCATCAGCTAGAAATAGTTCTTGTTTCAGCATTACTAGTTACTTTTGTTTCAAGTTTTTGGTACATATCAAGTTGATGAAGAAAAATTTATGTTTGCTTTAAATGGAAGTATTAATCTTTATCAAATGCTTTTTATCTTAATTAGGCTATCCCAGAATTTTGTTAATGTAGTATATAATAGTATATTAACTACTTTAGCATTTATGGGATACCATAGCCTAGTCATAGTGTTTGATCTTTTATGAAACACTTTTTGCTTCAGTTTGTTTTATGTTTTAGTTTTGAATTTTGTGCCTGTGTTCATCAGCAGATTGCCCTTTGGTCTTTAAATTATAGCCCAACTATATTGGTTTCTGTTTTATTTTTTTTCTTAAAAGACTTAGACTATTACTTTGAATTTCAATCACCCCTTTTAATCCCACCCAGTTTAAGTCTAAAGGAACATATGTCAAAATTAGAGTTTCTGTTTTACTTTGATTTATAACTTCATAAATTTTAAAGTCCATACTTTGTTTCTAAATTGCGCTTGTTTCATTCTCTTTTTTTATAGCAATGTACTGGTATAACTTTGAAGTCTTAAAGAAGTGGTTGTGTGAGAAATCCGGATTATATGAACCGACATTTATGATCAACTTTGCTTCAGGGGCATTGTCTGGTTCTGTAAGTTTATTCTTTTTTTTTTTATTTTAAATATTTTATTTATTATTTTTATTTTATGTGTATGCGTGTATTGCCTGCATGTAGGTAAGTGCACCCGTGTCTTCCAGTGCCCACAGAGGACAGAAGAAGCTGTCAGATGCCCTGGGACTGGAGTTACGGACAGTTGTTAGCTGCCATGTGGGTTCTGGGATTCAAACCCAGGTCTTCTGTAAGAACAACCAGCATTCTTAACTGCTGAGCCATCTCTCTAGCCCCCAAAGTTTATTCTTTTGTTGTTACTATTCCAGCAAATTGTTGATTAATGCATTAAAACAGAACAACATACTATACAACATTTCATGCATATACAGAGGACAGTTTTTGAGCCCATTGCTTTAGATCTTATTTCATCCTGTTTTAAGGAAATTAATTATTGGCCATTAAAATTCTTTAAAATACACTTTCTAATTATATTTTTATTTTAAGTACATTATTCTTATGAAAAACTTTTGTGTTAGATAATGAGTTATGGTCGTGATTATGTGTGATATGGTTTTATTTTTACAAACAATTTTACAGTTCAGTAAATGCTAGTAGATGTGATTAGGTAATATGTTATATACAGTTGTGTCTCATTTGTATTATTTAAATAAGCAGAAGGTGTTCTGTCCTGCTTAATTCCTGCTGCTTTGTTTCCTTGGAAACATTTTGGCTGGATAATTTCTTCCTACAAAAATTTTAAGAAAAATTGAATCTAGAAGGGAAGAGTCTCAAGTGACCATTTTTGAGTAATAGAATACTCATCTTTCCTCACTGCTCTATACGATGGAAAAGTGGTTCAGATTCATATCAGCACAAACTCAGCTGGAAAGAGTTTTCTTAGGTGCATATATACTTCCACAGTTAATTTGTGATAAGCTACAGCATGACACAGACATATTCTAACTACATAGAAACAAAACTTAAACTGTGTTTCTCTAATCTCAACACTTTCGCAGCTCAGGAGGGAGAAGCAGGAAGATGTTAAATTCAGGGTCAACTTGTACTACATAATGATTCTTTGTCTTTAAAGAAAAACAAACAAGCTTCTAAGGGCAATGTAAACTGTTGGAAAGTTGCAGAAAATGTGGAATAAAATAACAGAAAACCTAGGAAAAGGAAGCTAATGCTAGAGCTTAAAAGCTTAGAAAAGAGCATTCTCAGGTCTGTGTGTCAGGTTCAGCCTAGTGGATCATAAGTACATTGAGGTAAAAAAGCAATTAGTATTGTTGAATAATGGATTTGTATCTACAATGGAAAAAGCACAGGAATGTGATAGTGCCATAAACAGAACAGTCTAAACTGCATTATTTAGAAAATGTAGTAGTAGCCTGTTGCCACTACTTGGTCATTGTAGAGATGAGCAAGTGGCAGTTGTTTTAATATTAGCTGGAATTTTTGAAAGAACTTCATATTGTTGAGACCTAATAAAGTGTGATTTTAAGAGGTATTTTATGAATGTATTTGTCCAAATGTGAGTTTGGAAGCAAAAAATAGAAACCAGTTTTAATTAATAGGGTTATCGTTATCAGATATTATAAGAACATTCTTAAAGGAACTTAATTATTTTTTAAATCTACCTAAAGAAATATGGAAGTAAGTTAAATTGCATCATTTTAATAAGTTTTAGAAAATGTGAGTTTTGAACCATTGCAGCTATATTTGAAAATACACTGAAATCTATTAAGAAAATGTGGATGGAAACTAAAAGTTTGAAGTCTATTTTCATTACTTGTTAATTTTTCTAATTATTTTAAAAACATTTGCTGGAAATTTTCATATGCTTACTACATATTAGAAATTCTCTGCTTTAACATATATAAAAAGCTGAGTGTGGTGGCTCATGCATATAATCCCAGAACTTGGAAAGTGAAGGCAGGAGGGTCAGGAGTTCAAGGTAATCCTTGGCTACACATTTGTGTTTAAGGCCGCTCCCTCCCAGATACATACTCACACACACTATACTTTCATATGAAGTAAGAGTGATGAATCATGGGACTCAAGATTGCTCAGTGGTTAAGAGCACTGGCTGCTCTTACAGAGGACCTAGGTTCAGTTCCCAACACCCACATGGGGGCTAACAACTATCTATAACTCCAGTTCCAGGGGTTCTGATGCCCTCTGCTGGCCTTCTAGGGCATTGCACACTTGAGTGGCACTTACATTCAGGCAAAACAGTCATACACATAAAAATACGTAATTAAAATTTTTTTTCATATTTTATTTATTATTTTTATTTTATGCGTATGTGTTTATTGCCTGCATATAGGTAAGTGCATTGTCCATGGAGGACAGAAGAGGCTGTCAGATGCCCTGGAACTGGAGTAATGAAGTTGTTAGCTGCCATATGGGTGCTGGGATTTGAACCCAGGTCTTCTGGAAGAACAACCAGTATTCTTAACCGCTGAGCCATCTCTCCAGACCAATAATTTTTTAATTTAAAAAAAGTAATGGATCACACAGGTGTGTTTTGGAGTCAGTAGCTGAGTGATCTCAGGAAAGCAAGAAAACTTCTCTGATACTATCTACTTTGGAGTTTTATGAGGAATACTCAAGACATAACTTTTTATTAATAAAAACTATCTTTTCTTTAAATATGTTTTGTTTTTTATATGATTTATTTTCTGTGTGTGTATGCTTACATGTATGTATGTGTGTGCAGTACCTACGGTGGCTAGAAGAGGGTATTGGATCCCTTGAAATTGGAGTTACAGGTGGTTGTGAACCTCCATGTGGGTACTTAGAGCTAAACCCTGATCCTTTGCAAAAGAGGCAGGTACTCTTAAATGTTGTGTCATCTCTCCAGCCCCTATCTGGTTTGCTTATTTATTTCTATTTTTTGAGACTGGATCTCACTATACATCCCTTGACTGGCCTAGAGCTCACTATGTAGACCAGGCTGGCCTTGAACTCATAGAGAACCTCCTGCCTCTGCCTCCCAAGTATTGGGATTAAAGGTGTGTGACACCCCTCCTGGCTATCTGATGTATTTTAAACTTGTTTAATTGTGATTTTATTGTTATTGTTGTTAAATGATATTTGAATTAAAAGAATTTTTAAATATTTTAGGAAAAAGTTAAGGTTTAAATTAATTTTACTTTTTGATAGTTTGCAGCTGTTGCAACTTTACCATTTGATGTGGTAAAAACACAAAAACAGACACAACTTTGGACATACGAAAATTGTAAAAGTAAGTTTAACTTAAAGCATTTTAAAGATGTCATTTTTGGTTTCTCTTCTGTGATACTAAGATAGGAAAATATAAACTAGGAAACAATACCATTTTTCTTATGCCTTATCCCTCTTTAATAAAACTAGTAAATGTTTGAATACCTAGAAAATTACTTTAAAAGTTTAAGAAATTGTAAAGCCTATTTCTTGACTGGCATCATTTAAGACTCCAGCTGTAAAGGGAAAAATTACTTTTGTCATGCAAAAGCTATGATTTTTTTTCCCTATAGTTTTCATGTATATTTCAAATTTACATCTTTATTCATCATGTAAATATTCTTTGAAATAAAGCAATAAAACAAGTCAAACAAATACTATAAAAGATAAGAAATTACTGAAAAACTTTATCCTTTTCGGTTTTTTTTTTTTTTGTCCTTTTGATTTTTTTTCTTTGTCAACATATGTGAACACTTTTCTTGTTGTTCAGTTAGTTTTTGGCTTTCTTCCTTTTACTATTTTCTCATCTTTTTTAAACTTTGTTGTAATCTATAATTTCTTTTAGCATAAAAGTGTACTCTTACTTGCCTCAACCAGATCCCCAATGAACCATAATGTCTTTCATTCAAAAAATATAGAAAACCCGGGTGTGGTTGTGCATGCCTGTGTAGGACCCCCAGACTGGGGTACCCTACGTTCACGGGAGGCCGCACCCCAATAACTCAGTCCTCAAACCAGAAGATGCAATAGCAAGAGGTTTATTTCGATTTTAATCATTTGCGCAGACGGCCTCCTGCCTCACTCGGAGAGGAGAAGCCCTGAGCTCAGCTTACAGGCTGTTTATAAAGGCAAAAACCACAAACCACAAGTGGCTACTGAGCCAAAAAGCAGAAGTGGGAGGGGGGATTTTTCAGGTGATTTCCAGCTTGTGCAAAGAGCATGAAAAGGTCAGCTTTTTCTCAGCAGTTTAGAATTATTTTTCATTTTGCTTCCATGTACAATTTTTCTTTTGCCTGGGGGACTTGGTTTGAATCCACTTTGGCCTGGGAGGGCTTGGTTTGATTCCATCATTCCCCCCTTTCCTTATGACAAGATTTTAATCCTAAAATCTACAGATTTTCTGTTCTGTTTAGAGCATGGTATTGCTGAGTAAGGACCAAGGCCTGAGTCACTGATAATCCGTCCCTGATAAATTGTAGCAGTTTGTTGAGGATGCATGGCCCGAAAGTTAAAAGAAGGAGAAGAATAACTAGGGGGCCTATTAGGGAGGACACTAGGGTAGTTAACCAGGGGCTTTTATTAGACAGTCCTTAGTCTTTTATCTAATCTCTGGCGGAGTTTAGTCATAGAATCTTTAACAACCCCTAAATTGTCAGCATAAAAGCAACATTCTTCTCCTAGGGCCACACAGAGTCCTCCTTCCTTGAGGAAAAGCAGATCTAGCCCTCTTCTGTTCTGTAGTACTACTTCTGAGAGGGAGGTTAGGGATTTTTCCAGGAGGGTAATTGATTGTTCTTTTACCTTAATATCTTCATCTACAGCCTTTTGTAAGTCTGCATAATATTGTGGTCCTTGTATTAGGGCCACTGTTCCGGTTCCTACCCCCGCCGCCACTCCTGCTCCTAGAAGTATTGCTAGGGTTAGAGACACAAGCTCTCTTTTATATCTGCCTGGGTGTTGCTCAAAAAACTGCTCTAAGGAATCTGCGGGATGATAGAATACTCGGGGTAGAAGTTTAATCGTGACACAGTAGTCTTGAGAGGTTTTAAGGACCATACTAGCTACACATGGAGTTAACCCAGAGTTACATGCCCACCAAGTCCCTTGTTGAGGTAAGAGATAGTAATTCCCTTCCCCTGAGGGTACAGGTATAGTGGAATTGCAAAGGTGGGTGTGAGTTGAAGGTGGGTTTCCTAGACAGAGTCCAGATCCTGAGACTTCTGTAAGGGTTAGGGGATGAGGGGTTTCTCTATGGCATTAATCGGTTGAGGTGGTGTTATTGAATGTCCCTAATGTAGCTATACCTTCGTATATGCTCCCTGAACTAGATTGAACAGTCGGTTCCCCATGGTTGAAACCTGTTGTCTCGGGGCACGGGGGGTCTGTTTTGACAGGATGTTAGCGGGGGAGGTGTTAAGAAAGGGCAAGGCTGGTAGGGAATTTGGGTAACTGGGGATGGGTTTCTGAATAGGTAAAACAGGGTTGGGACCTATAGCTATTGGGTAGGAGGAGCTATCTCTTTTAATAGTAAAAAGAAGGCCATCATCAGCCTGTTTCTTATATAGTCTTAATTTGCTTTTACAGTGACATAATCCCATGATGAGGACGGGGACTACCAGGTGTCCCCGGCTGTTTCGCATCCCCAGTTTTTGCAGTAAAAGTAGGCCCTCCCTCCACATTGGGGGTTGAGATATTTAGACCGGTGGTTGCCTGGGCAAACATAGAAGGTTAAGGTACACAACATGGCCCGATGTTCATGAGGGCCACATCCCCCCCCATGGGTCAAGTCCCAGTCTCCCGGGGGGACTTTCCTTGTCCGGTGCCACCTCAGTATTCCAGTTTCCTTCTAAGTCCCAGGGCTCTGGTGCTCCTAAGGCTAATTTACACAAATCTGGATACAGTATAGGCCACCAAGTACCCTTGGGTGCCATCTTGTGGGTTTCAAACACTACAATACCCATTTGATTAATTACCTGCCAGGTAGTCAGCACAGGGAGATGGGGACTTCCATGACTGGGGACAAGCCTAAAAACAAATAGAATTATTAGGTATCTCTGGAGAGTTTTATTTTTAGAGGGTTGGATGTCCTGTGTAGATGCCATTTTCCAGTGTCCTCCTGGGTCGGAGCTCTCTTGATGTGGGAAACGTGGATCCAAGCTGAAATCCCGTCTATTTTGAGGGCCGTTGGCATAGTCAGGAGAACCGTGTAGGGTCCTTTCCACCGTGGTTCAAGAGTCTTTACATTGTGCCTTCTCACGTACACCTGATCACCAATCTGGTAGGAGTAGGACGTTTGTAGGCTCCCAGGCCGGTAGACAGCAGCCAAAGGTCCCCAAACCTGGTTCTGAATGATCTGCTAGAGGTAGGAGTTGTACCCAGTCTTTAGTGCCAGTCTCTAGAGCTAATTTGGTTAAGGTCTCTTTAATGGTTCTGTTCATTCTTTCTACCTGTCCTGAACTTTGGGGTCTGTAAGCACAATGTAATTTCCAATTAATCCCCAATGCTTTGGCCACTCCCTGACTTACCTGGGAGACGAAGGCCGGGCCATTATCAGACCCAATTACCTTGGGCAGTCCACATCGAGGGAAGATTTCTTCAATCAGCTTCTTTACCACAGTCTGGGCTGTTTCCTTTTTGGTGGGGAAAGCTTCAACCCACCCTGAAAAAGTGTCTATAAACACTAAAAGGTATTTATAACCATATTTTCCTGGGAGTACCTCAGTGAAATCTATTTCCCAGTTAGTCCCTGGTCGTGTCCCTCTTTCTCTCTTGCCATATGGGACTTTTGACCTGGTAGCATTCACCAGGGAACATGGGATACAATCTCCCACTACCTTCTGGACTAGTTGGTTAAGGTCTGGGAAATAATAGATTTGTTCTTTTTTTCTAATAGTGTCTTTAGTTTCTTGTATCCTAAGTGCGTCCACTGGTGGAGTTGGGAGATTAACTCAAGGGCCTCCTTTCAGGGCAGTATGATTCGATTCTGATATTTCCACATTTTAGATTCTGGGTCCAAAGTAGCGTTGAGCCTTCGAACGAGTTCCAGATCCTGCTCAGTGTAGCAGGATCTGTGCTTTAATTTCAGCCTCCAGGTCCGAATGGGTGTAGAAAATGCAGGTGCCTTCTGCTGCCTGACGAGCAGCTTCATCTGCGAACGAGTTCCAGATCCTGTTCAGTGTAGGTAAAAAGAGCATCTCCCTCCTTTGTTTGTGCCTCAATTTCAGCCTTAAGGTCTGCGTGTGTGTAGAGAATGCAGGTGCCTTCTGCTGCCTGACGGGCAGTTTCATCTGCCATCCGATTGCCCCGAGCAATCGGCCCCTGGTCTCACTGATGTTCAGGGCAATGGATAATGCTGACCTTTTTAGGCAAGTACAAAGCTTGTAGAAGGGCCACTATCGCTTCCTTGTTTTTAATGTCCTTACCAGCCGAAGTGAGGAGTCCCCGTCTCCGGTAAATTCCCCCATGTACATGGGCTGTGGCAAACGCATAGCGGCTGTCGGTGTAAATGTTGACCTTTCTGCCCTTTGCTAATTTTAGAGCCTGAGTTAAGGCTTCTAATTCAGCCCGCTGGTCTGATGTTCCACCCGGCAGGGCTTAGGCCCAGATTATCATTATCTTTTTCCCATCGACCACTGCTGCCCCCGCCTTACGCTCATCGTCTTGTAGAAAACTGCTTCCATCCGTATACCAAGTGGCATCTGCATCTGTTAGGGGCTGGTCAGTGAGGTCTTCCCTGGTCCCATGTGTCTCCGCAAGTATTTGCTGGCAGTCATGGGGAATCTCAGTGCCTTTCTTGGGGGCTGGTAGCAGCGTGGCAGGGTTCAGGGTGGCAAGGTTACCAAACTTGATCTTTTCTGGATTTAATAGTAGTGCCTGGTAATGGGTCACCCTGGCATTTGACAACCATCTGTCAGGAGGCTAATGATGGACTCCACTGCATGTGGTGTTATAACAGTTAGGGGCTGACCCATAGTGAGTTTGTCTGAGTCTTTAACCAGGGATGCTATTGCTGCCATGATTCTCAAGCATGGGGGCCAGCCAACTGCCACATTGTCCAGCTTCTTTGAGAGATAAGCTACTGACCTTTACCAAGGTCCCAAAGTCTGAGTAAGAACTCCTTTTGCCATCCCTTTATTTTCATCTATATATAAGACAAAAGGCTTTGTCAAGTCTGGCAATCCCAGAGCTGGAGCCGTCAGCAGTGCTCTTTTTATTTTGTCAAAGGCTTTCTGATGTTCTTCAGTCCAGACAAAAGGAGTCCCAATTTTTGTCAAAGGATACAGAGGAGCCGCTGTTTCAGCG